CAGAAGTATACAAACCAAAAAAAACAATAAAAGAAAAATGGTACCAAGACCTTGATCAAAATATTACAGAAGAAGAATAAAGTGAAATGCTAATAGGCCTTAAAAAGAAAACAGTATCAGAGATTTTAGGTATTACATATACTTTAATCCAAGCAGCAGGGCCTAAGTTCCAAAAAATCTTTAGAAATTTTGTAGAAATTTGTATTAAAACAGACAAAATCCCAGTTAAATGAAAGATTTTACAAATATACCCAATTTCTAAAAAAACAAATTAGCATTACAATTTAGATAATGTTAGACTAATAGCATTTTTAGAGACCTTTCGAAAGTGTACAACAAAAATTCTAACTAAAAGATTAACAAAAATTTTTTGCAAAAAGAATATACTTAAAGAACCAAATTTCGCAAGACTGCCAAGAAACTCAACTGAGAAGCCAGTACATATTATAAATGCAATAATAGAAAATGCCAAAGAGAACAATAATGAGCTATAGTTAGTTTTGCAAGATATGAAAAAGACTTTTGATTCAGTATTGCTAATTGCTTTAAAAAAAGCAATGAAAAGAATTAAGTTGCCAGAAAAAACAATCTCAATAATATTAAATTTATTTTAAGGCAAACAATCTAAAATAATTACATACTAAGGATATACAGAGGCATTTGTAATAAATGATAATATTGAACAAGAAGAGGTACTCTCATTATTAATATAGAGAGTATTCTATAATCTACTACTAAAAAAAGTACAGAATGATATAAATCTAGGCTATACAACAATAGTATCAATTCTAAATGACAACAAGCTAAATTACACAACAGAGATAAAATTACATCAAGTAGTAATAGCATTTGCAAATGATACAACATAGATAGCAAGTAATAAAGAACAAATAGAGTATACATTATAAATTGTTAAAGATTTTTTTAAACTCAATGACATTCAGATAAATGAAAAAAATCAAAACTTATTATAATGAATCTAAGTAAACTAAAAGAAAATAGAAAGGTTAGACTAAACAATGAATGGATTTTAAAGAAGAAAAAACCAAAATAACAAAATTCTTAAAAATTTGGCTTAATAATAAACTTAATAAAGACCAAATGAAAACAAAAGCCAAAATGTTGGTGCATTCTACAGCAAGACTGCTCAATACTAAAAAGATAACAGATGCTCAGATATCATATATAAACAATATGTATTTAGTGTCAAAATTGGTATATATGCTTCAAGTATCAAGGCTCTCGAAAAGAGCAATTAATATTATATAAGGGCCTATAATAGAGGTAGCTAAATACAAGTTAGAAATTGCAAGAACAATAAGCAATAGTGTAATTATCTATAGAAATCTGGACAACTGCAATGCATTATAGGACTAATTGCTAATTAAACAAATCATAAGTTTGCATATGTGAATTAATTCAGCAGATCCTAAAAAAAAACTAACAAGAATTAGAATTAATTAGAAGCTATTGCTATTAGGTATAACAGAAACAAATTGGTAGAAAAACTCAATAAAAGTATGCAGCAAATTATAAAAAAACAATTTAGCATGTTAACTAAGGCTTAGAGCTAAAAAGTTACAAATATTATTTGATTTTAATGATATAGACATAAAAAAAACAGATAAAAAATTAAAAATTGCAGATGTGTTAGAGAACAAGTTTTTATTACAAGTAGCTTTAGCACTAAGAAAGCTCAATATATTTTCAGTAAATCAACTCATTAATAAAAAAGACAATAGAATGATTTTATGATAGCAGCTCAAACTACTGATAAAAAAATTGAGCAAAAAAAGACCAGCAAGATTGTTTAAAAAAATCAAAAAATCTATGCTAGAAGACAAAAGCAATAAACAACTTAAACTAGAATTTATATTATCAGAAAGAAATAAAGAGTTATCACTATAGATAACCTTAAACAGGTACTCAAATGATAACAGAAAAAAAGAATAGGTTGTACTAAAGGTACTATGAATAAGTAAAAAAAAAATCTAGTAATTAGGAAAATAGTTGTGAATACAAAACAGACTAGTTTTTAGAAAAATGTAATGATTGCAACTTAGATCAAATTGAAGTTGTAAAAGATAGAACAATAGAGAAGACATTCAAAGCTCTTTGTCAAGACTTATTAGTAAAAAGGAAGTGCCCAAACTTGAAGTAGAACAAGAAATGATAAGAGGATTGGAATACAATAAGTCAATCAAACCAAGCAAACATGAAAGCCTAGTCAAAGAAATAGTATGTAAAGACCTAGATATAAAGCTTATAAAAAAATAATAACTTAGTTAGGTACTTAAAGAAGAGTTAGTTTATAAAAACCAAAGAAACAAACTAAAAAACAATGAAAAGCTGATTTTCTATATAGATGGATCATTTAGAAAATCAGTAACAGAAAACTCAATAGAGAGTTTTTGCATGAAAATAGGATGAATGCAAATAGATAGTAAAGAGGAAAAAGTAATTGATAAAGGTATAATTGGTGCATGAAATTGGCTTTCTTCAACAAAATTAGAGTTGTTTGTAAACTAGTATATGCTGTTAATAACACCAAAAAAGAAAAAAGTCAAGATTTATACTAAATAAGTTGTTAACTCCTAGTGATAAATTAAATATTTAAATTCTATCTATATCAAAAATTTAAATAATCACTTATATAATACTTATAAAGAATAACTATTTTTACTCTTACTTTTGCTAATGCCACCTCTCATATGATTTAGCTGATCTCTAAATCCTAAATGATATATTACACAAATATAAGTTGCATGACTTTAAAGTTATAGTTTATAAAAATTCTGATTATGTGATCTTTATTTATATAACATATTCATCTGATTAGTTATAGGCAGAAGTTTGTTTAATTGGCTAATAAATTTAATTTAATTTTACATTATTTATACAGTTTAGAGTATTTTTTAAAAAAATGAAAACTAACTATAATAGTAATAAAAAACATATAAAAGGTTTTATTAGAGTTGTAAGACTTTATAGCCAAAAATAAGATCTAATTCTTATCTGTTTAAAAAAGTTAGTATAGTAATACCTTCTCAAAATCTAATAAAAACAACTTTTTACCAAACTAATTTTTTTAAACAAATGAGAATTAGATCTTATTTTTGGCTATGAAGTCCTACAACTCTAATGAATCCTTCTATATATATATATTTTTTTTATTATGATTAAATTTTATTTTTTAAAAAAATATTATAAATAATGTAAAATTAAATTGAATTTATTAACCAATTAGACAAATTTCTGTCTATGATCTGATTAAGATTAGAAAAGAGTCGAATAGGATCAGAAACTCATAAAGGGTGATATTAGCAAAAGTGGAAGCTAGAAATAGTAACACACTACTTATATTATAATAACTATTTCTAATAATTAAATTAAGATCTCTATATTAACAAATTATGTTGTATTTGTATAACTAGTTATACAAAAAAATGAAAATTGACATTAAGTGGTATAAACTTTAGATAAATTTTTGCAATTATGTAAATTTGTTAAAAGTAGAAAACAAGAAATTTATTTAGAAAACCTAGTAAACAGATATTCAATAATGTTATTGTTAAGACTAGACTACTGAAAATAGATATCAATATCAAAGTATCTGAATAGGTAAGAATTTTTAAGTTAAGAGTTTCATAACTATCACCAACCAGGCTGCTAAAATAAATCAAAGAAAAATGATATTAAATTGATCTAATATATTAATAAACTAATTATAGTTTTATACAGTTTATTTGAATTAAAAATTTAAAAAACAGATAGAAATATACTAAAGTACTAAGAATATGTTGTAAAATAGATGCTGAGATTTAAATAAACTCTATAAGAATATAATAATTAAAAATAAAAAAACTCTAACTGCAAGTATTAATTTTAATATAGCGATATTATGTTAATTATAAAAATAAGTTAAAAAGCTTTGAAAGATTTACTTTAAAGATAAAATAATCCTAAAGTTAAGATAATGATCTGAGTATAACTTAGTAATATTAATACAAATTGCAAGTTTAGAAATTTTAAAATAAAATATTCAGGCAGAAGTATTAAGTATAACAATTAATGAAGACCCTTCAGGTAGATTTCTTAAATAGGTAATATAGAAAAGTTACATGTGTAATGAATTGTATACTTTTTCTATAGTAGTTTATAGAATCATACGTATTACCAAAAAAAATTATTAATAAAAATCAAAAAACCAAAAAGATTATCTTAAAAAAAAAAATAGTTGTAATAATTATCAATAAATTACTGTTACAAAATATAACAATAAAAAAAATATATTATTAATAAAATAATAAATAAACTTAATACCTTTTATTATTTGTTGTAAAATCATTTTATTACATAATTTTTTACATAATTATAATCAAATTGATTAATTTAACTCACTATCTTGTCCTAAACAACATGATCTATACACAATATGTTAATCACATCATAATTTGTATAACATAAACAGTTTTGTTAGCATGATCAAAAAAAATTCAAAGCAAATAATTATTTTGTCAAAATTTACTTATAACTCAAAATTTCACATATGAAATTACTGTATTTTAACAAAAAAAATTTATTGCAAAATTTTAATATAAACTCTTTTATAGCATCCAACCTACCTATCCCTAACTAAACAAAAAGCTAATTTTAGTTAAATTTTAATTTATAAATATATGCGATGTATCAACACGTATTCATTTATCCTTTTTATTTTTATATTTTACAAAATATTAAAAACCAGATTTTAACTTTGGTTCTAAATAAAGATGCAGACATTTAGAGGGTCAAAGGTAGTTATTTGTATACATCACCCTTTACGTCATATTAAATACATCACGTCAATACGTTATAGTAAATGTTAATTGATATTCTAATGTCTGCAGCTTTAGTTCTAAACCAAACCAGAGTTTGGAATACCTGATTTTTGGATTTTTCATTTGAAATTAGAAGTTTTAGAACCCAAACCAAACCTAAACTACCTTTGCTATTACTACTTAGCCTAGTGCTAATGCCAAGGCATCGAACCACCAGAATCCACCAACTCGAGCAATTATCTGAACAGAATTACTTATAAACTCTTTATTTCTATTAAACTCTTTATCAATTCTACTTAAACCTTCGAGAAACGTTTCATGATCCACTTGTTCAGGTATAATGGGTTCAATGCCGTTTATGTCATCATCATCGTCTGTTAAGAATGTGTCAGAGTCAGAATCTGAAGCATTTTCATCTTTCTTTGATTTATCATCACGTGAGTGATCATAAAAAGACACATTTTCTCCTTGATAATGTGTGTAAAGTGTACTGAACTGAATCGCCAAATCGAGAACATCTAATATAGATTTATGAATAGGAATTGTCTTCATAACAACAAATACATCATCGTTACATTTAATCATTGGTATGCGAATAATTTATAAGCATGGTCATATTTTGGATAACATACCTTATCACTGAGCAAGCATCGATCATGTACGGCATTAATATAATAGTTGTGCAAGGAAACCATCTCATCAACATCAAAAACTTTTTCTAATTTCTTGTAAAACTTTTCCGTTTCCGAGAGCAGTATCTAAACAGAAAAAATTTATGAAGGTAAAAAAAAAAAAAAGTAAAAACAATGATCTAGTTATCAATATATATGTTACCCACATTTCTCATCGCATAATCCCATATTGTATTCAAAAACCATATCAATTTAATTCTAACTCCATAAAACGAGACCATGGCGGTTGTTTTTTCTGTCATTTCATTGTCTCTATTTAAGCGCGAAAACGATAACCGCTCCAAAAGATACTTGGCTCGCTTCACTTGGAGTAAAAAAACCACTATGCGCTTATAGTATTGTAGAGTTCTACTTTGTATTATGTTGTTAATAGGCCATGGTATCTAAAACAAATCTCATTGCTATTAGCGTCAAAAAACTTAGATTGTAGTAAATACACATCGATCATGCTTACTCGATACTCAATAACAATTTTTTCAAATACTTTAACAGTGGTAATGTCAGGCCTTTTTCCAGGTACGTCGTCTATCCACGCGCTGACCAAACCTCCATCCAACCATTTCCATTTCCTCACCGTATTCAGAAAAATATCATTGAGGATATATCTATCATACCACATTTGTTTTTTATCTATCTACGATTAAAAATTTTAAATAAATAAGAGTTTTTTGTTGATAGATAAAAAAGTTGGCATTCACTAACCCTCTCAAATAAAACGTCACATAGTAGGTGCATTGATTCCCCTTGTTGCATGAAATATATCCCTGCAAGAGAACGTAAATGCTTCCATAACCGACATTTTTCAACTAATGTATCATAAAGTTGCCGACCGATTCGTTCATATCTGGGCTGAATATAGCCCTCAAACCGTTCTTTTAATCGCTCATTAAAAGGTTGAAAAATAAGCATATTATTTATTTCTTTTGATTCCATTTTCACATTCTCTTCCTTTTCTGTTGATGATTGCCAAAGAGGAAACAAGGATGATATTGTCTTAGGGAAAGCATCGATAATGCCATTAAAATCAGAGAGACTCTCCATTTCTAGTAGTTTACAATCAATTCCATTAGCTGAGGTATTTTCCACTGACAACTTGTGATTAATTTTATTATCTGAGTGGTTATGATCAACTTCAACTTCATTATAATCAATTTCAATTTCATTGTCTGAGTGATTATAATCAATTTCAATTTCATTATCTGAATGATTATGTTCAACCTCAATTTCATTATCTGAGTGATTATAATCAGCTTCAATTTCATTATTTGAGTAAGCTCCATCATTTTTATTTAATTTCTCACCGAATAAACGTAACGACTCTATATCGAGAGCTAATTCCTTAGAATTATGTTGTAGAGACAACATATATTCTCTAATATCTACCTGAATTTGTTAATGAAAATAATGGAATTCATTCAGTAGAGTATAAGAAAAAATGAATAATGCAAAACTTATACCTTTCTTGTTTTTAAGGACATTAGTAAATTTTGTGCTTTCCCACAGAACAAAATGCGACCTATCAAAGGTTCCAAAAAAGGTGGCGATAATGACTGGACCGATTCAACATTATCAATCATAATACAAGTCTCTCGAATCTTATACATTTCCTGCCAGTACTGTGACGATGTGTTCTTCATCGTTTGAGATCTAAATAAAAATAATAATGTTAAAAATTCGGAAACATATAAAGAAAAAGAAAATAATTTACCTTACAAAAAAAAATTCATCTTCTGGATCATTTAATGTTCCTGTACAAATCCATTCATCAATCATACGAATATAAGGTACAAGCGAATTATCAAGGTGTCCTCCCAACATGATAAATATATTTTTATTTCCTGATATCTGGTGATGAACAACTTCATTAAATAACCCAGATAATATTTTATATGCAATTTTACAAGATGAGTAAAGGCGTGTTGAAGCAGGGACATCTGACTGATCTTGATCAGAAATATCAAACAACCTATTAGGAAAGTCTGAAACGAAGTTCATTGAATTAATCCCTCGTGATGATCACCGCATAGATAATTAACAAATATAGTAAGTACCATGTGAAAGATGCTTTTCAAAAAAATCGTAAACGATCTTAAATTCATATAAATGTAGGGAAATATGATTTCGAAGCTGTAAAAGGGAAATATACGTGTCTTGATCTTAAATATTAAAAAAAAAACAAATATTATAATCCATTTATAAGAGTTTGAGACATATCAAAAGAAACGACTACCTTGAGATACAGACTTATTAATCTGATACTTTGATTCTATGTCAGACAATGATTTGTCAAATTTCCAAACCATCTTGAGGATGGATGCAGCAAAAGCCTGGGCAGTTTGTCCATAAGTTGGGCGAGATTCTGTACTTATCCTATTTGAATCAATCATGTTATTAAACTCTACCTTAATGTTATTTCCAAAAAAGATCGCAATACCTAGTGGCAACTATTCTCAACTTGACCAAGAAATTTCCATATTCACAAAAATATTCTAACAAGGCTTTAAGTCCACCTTCAGTTAAATGCATTAACACTGCATTAAGCTGGACCTATGTTAACAAATGAACATAAATATATACAAACCGATGATTAACTGGCAAATGGGTATTTACAAGATAAGTAAATATTCATACCTGGAATTTTCCATTTGTATCTTTGCAAAAAAGAAAGCTCGGACGTCCAGATAACATGAACAAAACCTCACGTATAGCGTCAAGCTCTGTGATGTATTTTAGTCTGGTTGGATCATAAAAAAGATATCTTTCATCTTGACTACGGTATTGCGCAAGTGATGGGGCTTTTTCACAAATATAAAGAAAAAAGATAAATAGATGCAGCGAAAAAAAAACGAATATCACATGATCAATTTTTAGAATACTTTACCAAAAGTACTTGCATCATTCGCATCAAACTTGGAATCTATTGAATTGTACACATTATGAAATTCGATAATTTATGCAAGTATCAACCAAGATTTCATGACATACCAAGCGGTTGATTACGGTAATTTGGCCTCCAATACTGGTTAGATAGTAATTCCTGAACAATGTCATAATTTAAGTTCTGATCCGGCGTTTCTTCAACACCATCTTGTTGTACCACATTCTGTGACGTCTCAGGAATCAGCTATATACATTACAAAATAAGTAAAAATAAATAAATAAATAGAAAATAAAATAAAGATAAAATAAAATAAAAAATGGAAAATATGATTAAAAACGACGATTACTCACATTCTGATTTCGGCCATTTTGAAAATTAACAGCCCTATCGCCTAATCTTGCTCTTATCCACTCTTGCACGTCAAAATCCCAATCATCGTCGTCGTCATCGTCGTCTTCATTGTAATCCGTTTTAATTATCCAATGTGGGCCTGTCAACGGTTCCTCATTAAGTATATCAGACACTTTAAAACGCGGTTGATCAGGCTTTTTTACTTTAATAATTGGGCTATATTTAGTGGAGAGTGGAGAATCCGATAAATTTAAAAGTAAACAGAGAATATCGTAGCGCGTATGAGGCTAAAAATGAATAATGATATTGAATTAAAAACAAAAAGTATTTGGCGTGATATTGAAATCTAAACTTACTTGAATCGACCCTTCTACCATCGGACGTTGCATAAGCGAAGAAACATATTTTTCTAAAAATTCTGCTTTGGTTCCTTGTGCGTGTATCCGAAATTTTTCGGCTAATCTGTTATAACCATATTGGTTATCAATTACAGTTTGTTCCTTTACTAAATTGACAAGAAACAATATATATATATATACCCATTATATTTTTTTAATACATCTTTTTGACTGGTGCTTCCAAATTTGCCGAATTTAAACGATGAATGCACGTATTTTACATCTTTTTTATAATCATCCGTCTCTGGCTAAGAAATTAATAAGTTTATTATTATAGAGAAAATTCAATATAATTGAAAGTTTACCTGTTTTTTAGTTATATTGAGTACGAGTTTTTCTATCGAAGCGTTCACGATATTAATCGACATAATTCGTAATGTACAGTATCAGTATTTGTTAAGATATATGTGCTTTTACTAATTCCCTCAAGTTTCGGTTTTGACCAATCAGAGAGCAAGATCAGGTGTAACGTGACGATCAAAACAACAATCACTCGACATGTTAAGTTAGTTATTGTCGCGGCTGATTATGAAATCGGATTATGGTGAAATTTGGATATATTTCATGTAGGCTTTTTTTTTATAGTTGAGTAGGATTTAGGGTTGGAGTTTTTAATCAAAGAGTATAGGTGGATTTTGGTAGGGCCCAGTGTATAAAATCTCAACTCAAAAGTATGTGAATATTGTGCACAGTGCTCACTTAATTTGTGTGAATAATTTTAAAAATTAGTGCACTATAAATTTTTATAATATCCTAAAATCTATGTGCACAACTTTAAAATATGTGCACTATAAAATTTATTAATCAGATATTCAGATTTCTAATTTTGAATTAAATTGGCAATATATTTATTTCGAGTAATTTATAAATTTTATTTATTTTTATTTGTAAACTTATTTATATAATAACAAATACCTTTATAATTGTAAATTGTCTTTTAAAATTCTTTTTTAATCATAAATAAAAACTTTGTTTATTTATTTTCGAAAAACACCTATTTTATTTTCTTGTTTTGAAATTTCAAAATAGAAATAGAATTTTTAAATTCTTACTTATTTTCAAATATTATTACTTCTAAAACACCCTAATATAAGTACTTTAAAATATAGCAAAATTGTGGGTCAGATATATTAAAAACTTTAAAGTATTATTAATAAAAACATAAGATATATAATTGTTAATTTAATTAATTAATTATATAAATATAATATAAAAGCAATTAGCAATATGTTCGATATAAATAAGAGTAAATAAGTATCAATCTTTTTTTAAAATAAACTTTATACAAATAAAATTATTTATTTTCAATCTTTGTTTATTAATACTGTTAAACCTCCCAAATCGATCCTTTCAAAACTGATAATCTGTTAAATCTGATAGAAAATTTGTCTACCAAGTTCATTTCCATTATATAAATCTAATAGTTTATATGTTTTCAAATCTTATAACTCCTCAAAGCTGTTACAAAATCTGTCTATCATGCATATCAGTTTGGGAAGGTTTAACAGTATTATATATAGTTATTTTAAATACGTATATAAAAAAAAGTCTAAATAATTAAATATATTTTTTTAGATTTAAAAGCAAATCTTTTATTTTTAATTAATCTAACAGATTTATTTAACTGTAGCATATTTACTAATCTTAACCAATAGCTTATTTACTATTTTTACTAATACTGTTAAATCTTTTCAAACTGATATGCATAGTAGACAGATTTTGTAACAACTTTGAAAGATTATCAGATTTAAAAACATTATAAACTATTAGATTTATATAATGGAAATGAACTTGGTAGACAAATTTTCTATCAGATTTGACAGGTTATTGGTTTTGAAAGAATTGATTTTAAGAGGTTCAACAGTAGTTTATTTACTAATTTTAACTAATAAAAAATGTTTTTATTATTTAAATTATTATAAATAATTAGAGATTTCAAAATTTATATATATAAAAAAGTTTTAAAATATAAATAAGAGATTCTATTTTAATAAAAATAAAAAAATATTTTATAAGAGTCAATATTTTAATAATTTTATAATAATTTGTTATATATTTTAAAATTTATAAAACTATTCTTTCTTTTGAAGCCTAATGTTTATATGCTTGTTCTAAATCAAAATTTTCAATTGAAGGTCCATTAAGAGAAATTAGCAAATAATTATTAAGTGTAGGAATTACCATTTGGTTTCTCAACTTGGTTTTAATCATATTTTGGTGAGAAAATATACGTTCAATATAACTATTTGATAAAGGAACTATTAATGCAATAATAGCCAAACAAGTCATATTTGGAAATTGTTCAGAAAAATTAGTTGTTTCAAAAATATGTTATCAAGCCTCAACAAAACGAAAGTTTTTAAATTTTAAAATAAAATGTTTAACCAAATTCCATTCTTCAAATAATTTAGTTTTATCAAATTTTGGAGTTAAAATACTGTATTCGTTTTCAATTTCTTTATCATAATAGTTGCCTAAAAATATAATTTTATCTTTTCCAAAATTATTTAAAGCTTGTCGTTTAGTTGAAATTTCATGTGGATCTACAATTCTTAATACATGATATAAATTAGAATCTGGAAATCAGTTTTGTAAACTTGTAATTATATTTGTTGCATATTGTGCTACAAATAATGGAAGTTTAGGTGTTGATATTCTATTAGTAGTCATATAATTAAGAAGTTGTGTGCCAAGTTGTGGTAGATTTCTTGGTGAACCAATAAACTCTGTTGTAATACTTTCAATAGCCATAGATAGTTAAGCTTTAATTTCACCAAGTGAAACATAATTCGATTAGAATATATTAATTACTTTACATAAAATATAAAACAAATCTGCTAAAAAATATGTAACAAGAAAAAAATCTTGGTCCATTGCATTATAAAATATAGTGCAGTAGTAGTAGAATCTCTATTAAATACTTCTTTAATATCATCTAATATTTGGTATAAATTATTAATAACATTTGCCTAGAATAGCCAGCGTATATCAACAATATTTAAAACAGATAAAAATTCATAATGTATATTTTCATCTTGAACAATTTGTAAAGAATTTTTTCATTTATATGAGACTGACCAATAGGAATATATTCCTTTAACTACTGCTGTATAATCAGAGAAATATTGTAAACCTTTTGATGCATCCTCTGTGGCTAATGAAGACGATGAGAAATACAGTGATTAGCTGAAATAAAAGGATTTTTGCACTTTAATCTTGCACCTAATCTATTATGAAATCCTAAAATTTTAATAAATATAAGTAGAAAGTAATAATAATAATCAAATTTTTTTATTTAAAATTGATTAAATAAATTCTAGTTACAAACCAGAATTTATTTCTAATAACTTTAATTAATAAATAGCTTACCGGTTATATTACTTGCACCATCTGAATCAAAATGAATTAGACGAGTTAAATCAAGTCCTTTTGCAGTACAAAATAATTCTAAATCTGCTAAAATTGCTTCCACTGTAGTTTTATTTAATGAAATCATTCCAATATAACGTATTACTGGAACATTATTGGCAAAATGCTTTGATACAATTGCAAGAGTTTTTTCATTAGTAATTGTATTAGATTCATCAAGAAGTATACTTCAAAATAATGAGCTATTAATTTCTGAAATAGTATCTTTCTCGACTATATATGCTAATGATTCTAACATTTTATGTCCAGCAACAGGATTTTAATAAGTAGTATAATTTTCCTCATTAGTAGATTCCAAGTTATTATTTTCTTCTAAGTGAAGGCAAGGTAGTTTAAGAGTACAAGATGGATTGTAATAAGTAATTTCATTATAATTTAAATGTGTAAAATTTACTAAATTACAAAGGTCAGGAAAAATATTAAGAGCTAAATAGTATTATGATAAAAAATATATATTGTGCATGCTTACTAAAGCTTTTGCTTTTGTTTCTCCATACTAAATTGTAAAGCTACTAAATAAATTTTGCTGCTTTATATCTTTGCCTTTAGCAGCATTAATATGATCATGAATTTTAATATGTCATGTTAAAGACTCCTCTTTAAGCCATTCACATCCTCCTTGTACAAATATATTTTTTGCATTAATTTCTTGACACTATGTACAAAACATTCGAATTTCTTCATTTACTATTTGATCTTGAAGCCATAGATATCGTTTTCACCATATTGGATTAAACTGCAAGTTTGGTTTAGTAAGTCATTCATACTTGTGCTTTTTAGCTAACTCAGACTAATTAATAACTGTAAAGCCTGATAATATATTAGACTCTTGAGTTTTTTCTTGTTCACTAGATTTATCAAGATGTATAACATATTTTTTCATTGCCATAGTAGTATTATAAGATAAGTAAATTCAAAAAATTAGAGAGTAAAATTATATGTAGCAGGTTATAAGTTTACTGTGATAACTTTATATTTTATCTTTTTTTATATATAATGCCATTAACATTAATAATTATTTAAGATTATAATAGTATGTTTCAATATGCAATTATAAAGTTTCTTTATTATGATATAAATCATATAATGCTTATCATAATATAGCAATTGTTTTTTATATTAATTTATAATCATATACCAATCTTGATTATTGTTGCTATATGAATTTTATGTTATTTTATTATGCAGAATTATTCTTTTTTTTGAAATTTATTCACGATCACACACTAACTCTGATTATTATTATATTTAAGCTATGTACCTGTATGCTATTTATAATTATAATTACTACATACTAATCGCAAGTAAGTATTATTACTATATTTAATAAGAATTAAATAATCTTGATTTGGTATAGTCTCAAAGATTTTAATATGAGGTTTTAGATTATAAAATTATTGCATTAGAAATTGTTTCATATAGAAATTAGACCAGATAATTATAGAATGATTAGAGATCAAAAAACTTCATCAATATAAACTTAAATGAAGTATTAGAAATTGAATTAAAAATAAGACGTTATATTAAACTGTTATGAAAGAACTTACAGATTTGAGCTAATTTATTAAAATAATAAATTTATTATACATTATACTAGAAACAGAAAGTAATAAATACCAGAAACAATCTGCAACAAGTATACAATTAATTACTATAACAATTAATTTTCCTATGTCTCCTCACTTCTATATTTGTATAATTCTTTAAGTTGTTACTTTTCATAATTGTACTATCATAGTCATGTTAATTCTACCTTAGTAGAATTAGGCATTGTTATTATTATGTATTCTTAGTAGCTTAATTTATGCAAGAGCATTTATGCTTACAAAGCATATATATATTGTGCCTTGGTCAAATGTAGAATCTACAATGTAATCATTGAGATCACTGTGCTGATAATCCGTAAAATTAGAAATGTATATAAGAATGTATCTTTCTCCTTAGTTGAGAATAATATTCGCTCTCCTAAATTCTTCTATAAATAAAGGTTACATATATTCACATTCTTTTTTATAGTAAATGCCTAATAAATCATGAATATCTGAATTCTATAATTTATTGTCCAATTATGTAACACTTTAATATCAACTATCAGAGCTAAACTTGGCATGACAGTACCAAGCTCTCTCTTACAATAGTTACACTATATACTAAATGTCACAGATGATAATAAAATTTGAACCTAATTTTTAAAAAATTTTTAGAGACTTTTTTGCCAGCTTTTTTTTTATAGTTGAGTTAGGTTTTAGGATTAGAGTTATTAATAAAAGAGTATGGTGGATTTGGGTAGGGCTTATATTTTAAAATTGAGACTCCCAAATTTCATCATTATTAGATTTCATGATCATCTGTGATACTAAATACAAAGTGCATCTGACTTTATGATCTGAATAAATAGTATTTTATATAGTTTTATCACTGCGTATTTGTAGGATATGTATGTACGTTGTAAAAAAGAGGTTGAGTTCAAATCGTTGCCAAGTAGTTTGGATCAATTTTGACAAATTTATTAGATCTAGCATATATAGAAGATATGAATATATATGCTTGAGGATTGATATAGCATATACGGTAAATATTAGAATGTTATTCAGCAACATAAAAAATAGATATAAAGATATAAAAAATTATCTTAGTAAATATAACAAATGAATAACCAATATATAGTTCTATATTCAAGAGTTATAAAAGCATTCTGCTCAATAATTCTTCTGATAGATAGATTTTTTATAAAGGATTAGAGCTTTATAATATAATTTAGAGCTCTAATCCAAAGACTCTAATTTCTTAACTAAATCTATCCATGTCTTATCATTGCCTCCTACTATTAGGTAAGGATAGAGTATGCTTTAGTAGTGTTAGTTGATTGTTTATTGTTAATATGACCTGATTCTAGCATTTTTCGAACCACCTTCGCCTTTTACAACATACATATGTATGTAATAAAAAAACAAAAAAGAATTAGTCAGGTTTTATAGCATGATTTATGTAAGCATATATATATATATGTACAAATATATATATGTATGTACATTGTGATAGGCAAATCAGATGCAGCACCACCCGAAATCGGGCTGTGCTATTTCTATTTTTATTTTTTTTATTCTATTTTTTTTTTATTTTCAGCAAAATTGCTATTTGTTGTTAGTTAAAGGTGGAACATAGATAAAAAAGACAAAAAAGATAAATTAGATAAAAAAAGATAGAAAAGATAAAAAGGATACAATAGATAAAGTCGATTTAATTTTATCTTTTCTTAGTCTATAAGAATGTGTATATAAGAGCATTATGCTCACCTTGAATAAAAAAAAGACAGTTGAGTTTAAAACTTCGAAATCATAGTAATAGAAGTTGTTCCTTTAACTATTGTCTTTTCTGACCCTAAAATGGTTCTAATAGACCCAATTTCTGTCCCAAATGATCATATAAGAAGTAATTATTATAAAATCTGAGACTAGTAAAGTTAAAGTAGAGTAAAGAGAACCCAAAATTCGTATTGTCTATCCTTATATACTACTTACTGATAAACCCAAGATCCATTGTTATAACAATTAATCAAATCGATCTTCGTGACATCATGAGCCTATGACATTAATAGTGAATTAAACATCTGATCCTCAGACATCTCTTACTTATGACATCATCATTAAAAATCTTAACAATTATAGTCAATATTAAATTGCCGATCACCACAGTTATTCAAGTAATATAATATGTGACCTGAAAAGACCATTCTAAATTAAAGATACAAAAACGTTATAGTTGAAGTTCTTAATACAATCAAAGCAACTAATAATTTAAAGGATACAGAGTACTTATCTAAGGCTAGATACATTTTCCAAGACCAAAAAAACCTTGAAACTCGGACCAAGTTTTTCTATGCATCTATTCAAAGCCTTCTAACTCAGGGTTTTAGAGTCTTGAGGTTGCCAAATATACACTATTTTGTGTATTAGATAGTTGTTAGATTAATTTTAGGTTTAAGTTTATTGGTCACCCCATCTCAACATACGTATGTATAAATAAAATGAACTTACCAAATTTAAAAATGTATGATATACATACATCTGTATAATAAAATTCTAATATAAAATCTTTGATCTTTCTATTTTTGATTGTGTAATAACATTGCATATATATCAAATTTTATATTTGAATTATAGGCCATGTGCACAATGTGCTCTATGTGCATATAGTTGAGATTTTATTAATAATTTTGGTGCACTATATAACCAAAAAGATTGTGAATTATATGCATATTCCTGGCTAAAAATATGTAAAACATTTTTAAAAAAAGTGCTTTGAGCACATTGTGCACATAGATTTTATACACTGGTATTGACTGTTTTGTTGAGTTTTCTGAAAGTTCTGCATAGTTTGGTTCTTTAAGTATTTTTTTTTCAACAAAAATTTTACTCAGTCTCTTTGTTAACATTTTCATTATAATTTTTCTAAATATCTCAATTAAGACTATTAGATGAATATTATTTAAACTATATCTCCATTCTACATTTTTTGATATCAGATATATTTGTGCTATCTTTCACTTTATTAATATTTCTTCTGCTTCTAAGCATAAATCTGTATACACTCTAAACACCTCTTGTGCTTTCTTTTCTGCTTTTTTGATTAAAGTATAACTTATTCCTAATATTCTAGAAGCTGTTTCTGTTTTGAGCTTTTTAATTATTTTATTTTATTCTTTCTTTTTAATTTTTCTTTCAATTCTATTATATCATTCTTCTTTAATTTAATCCTGTAGTTTATAAATTTTTTTTAACTTTTTGTTATCCTTTCTAACTTGATGTTTTTTTCTCTGAATTGTTTTTTATAATATTCTGCTGTGGCTTTTTTTAACTAGCTTTGATTTTGTTACTAGTTTTGTCTTCTTTTCTATTTGTTTAATTAATCTATTAAGTATTACTTTCTTGTATAGTTTGTTCAAAAAACTGACTATCATTTTTTTTTGGTCAGTCTTGATTATTTCATATTTTCTGTTTATGTTTTCTTTTATTTGTCTTCTTTGTTCTTGTTCTTATTTTTTTTTCTTTTTATTCTAAAGAATTCTTTACCAACCCTTTATGTCTTTTATTCACACATTAGATCATTGTTTTTGGATTTTTGGTAGCTTTGCATTTACTTTTTTGTCTAGTATTTTAAGCTTCCTATTTATTTTGCTTTTTTCTGTTTCTGTAACTTTCTGTTCTCTTTTTGTTTTTGCATGTTTAATTAATCTTTGAAGCTCTATAATAGTTTTTCATCATTAAAGATCTTTTTGGCTATACCTTTTGTTTGTTATATTGTAAATCTTTTTCTTAGATATGTGTTTATTTGCTGCTATTATAATGCCTCTTTTATCATATCCCATATATTATTTATCTTTTGTGTTTTCTTTTTTGTTCTTTGTTCTTTTTTTTGAATATATTTCAATGTTTTTTTGATCTTTGTAATTCTTGTGCATAGTTGTTCTATTCTTCATTTTTTGTAATATTATATAGATATATTGTTTTAAATTAACTCTTTTTTTTAACATCTGCTTATTGCTTTTTGCTTTTATGTATTTAATCTATATTTCTGCTATTACTATTTTGTGATCACTTTCAGTAATTTCCTTTATATCTTCAATTTTTGCTCTTTGTAAACCTGATACTAACTTTTTTAATACCTATATATAGTTAATTTTTGTTACTGTTTCTATATTTGACCATGTATAACTTTGTTCTGTTAGGTACATTTCTCTGTATATATTATAGAATATTTGTTGTTTTATCTAATTAAATATTAGCAATCTTTTGAAACTTATAGTTTGTAGATTCTATCTATCTAATATATTATCTACAGTATGGTTAAAGTTACTCATAATAATAATTTGTTTTTGTTTTTCTTTTT